CAACCTGAGGGCGACAGTAGCTCAGTTGGTAGAGCATTGGTCTTAAGGCCAGAAGGTCGTTGGTTCAATTCCCACCTCTACACCTTCTCCATCGACTCCCACTGATGACTGCTGTCGTTGTGTCCTTGGGCAAGACACTTAACCCCACTTTGCCCAAAGCCCCCACTGAAAGATCAAGGCTATGCTCACACTCAGAGAGCAGCCGTCCTCCTGTGGACTCACCACCTGCAGAGGGTCAGTGAGGGGCTGGTGCTATGAGACTTGGGTGGCATCTCTGACTGCCACCCCCCTGACCCAGAAATGGATTAAAGGGTAGAAAATGGATGGATGGATGGAACTTCAACCTATTTTTTATTTATCTTACTTTGTCTTTTCTGTACAGATCAGAGGTATCCAAGATCATTTATAAGGTGCCTTCTTACCTACAGTACTATAAACAACGCCTTCAAATTGCCCTGTTTTAGAGTCAAACATTATGGAGACATCTGTTGCTGCGCGGCCGAACCATACAACAACAACAACAACATGTCATTATTATTATTATTATGTCAACTCCCACTCACCCACAGGTAGATCTTTTATCCCCCTCCTGAGCTCTTGTTTCTAATGCATCCTAGTCCACGTTTATTGCCTCAAGCTACCACACGCACACACACACACGCAAAGACACACACACACATGCACACAGACAAAAAGTTCAGCCGGCTGTCACTCAAAATGAAAGCGTGTTTGTTTAGGCCGAACACGTTTACGCATGCAGAAAATCGATATTTCCTTTCCCGCTGCTCTCCACATATTTGACTCCTCCTGCTATCAGCCTCTGCACTTTCGTCCTCTGCATGTCCCCTGCTCTCCTGCTTTGTCCTAAATCACGCTGCTTTTGATTTGATTCGCAAATGCATGATTTATTTCAAACCAAACTAGGGTTGGCCCCTGATGTAACTATTTTCTCTTTTTAGGAAAATCATTTAGTTTCAAATGTAGTTTTATCATATGCTCTCGTTCCATATCTGAGTGGATCAGTTTGCTGTAATTCTCTCTGAAGATTCTCTTTTTCCCACTGTTTTTTCTATTCTGAGTATTCTATTCTATTCTCACCAATATCTCACATAATATTCGTATTTCTAGATTGTTTCTTTAACGTTTTTTATTTTTATTTTCTTATTGTGAAATGCTATGCAAGCTACAGTGACAATGCAATTTCCCTTGTGGATCCATAAAGTCTGTCTTAGTCTAAGTCTAAGTTCCTTGCCGATGGGTCCAAGGACAGAGGTTGTGCGGGGACATCTATCCATTGACCATCCAATTCCTGTAATCATCGTTTATTGTTTTGTTTGATTGATCATTTTGTGAAGTCCTTCGAGACGACAGCTGCTTTGATTTTGGGCTGTAGAAAATGAAATGAATAATTTGCAGTTCAACTTCAAATATTGGATTATCCCATGAGACTCAATGTTGTAGTGGGCATTTAAGTTCCATAACTATAGATCGTGAGAGTATTTTTGAAGAGAGCTACCCTCTTTCCACTGACAAAGAACCCACACTTTCACTTTGCTTTGAGGATTGGAAATCGTGAAAGGGTAAAAATAGTGATAAAATAATAATGATAATAATAATAGTATATCAAATGTTCTCTGAAACGTGTCAGTAAAATGCCTAAGTTGAGATTCAAGTAAAACAGAAAATGTGAAATAACATAGAAAGATTATACCTGCATATTTTATTACTACTTTATTATTATTAATCATATATTTCTGTCATTTTAGTTTGCATTACCCAGAACGCTTTTTGCACTTTGATATTATATTTTACATTAATCATGCAGCAAAATTTAAAGGTGCTTGGCTTTACGGAACGAGGCGGGACGATAAAGCATTTCTATTGGAGTTGACTACTTAACCTGATAATACTGAAGAAGAATTTTATTTTTTTATTGTGTTCCCTTTTTTCATGGTAATGCAACAAAATATAACAATAATCCAGAAAATACAACAGTAATGCATTCCATGAAAGAAAGAACAGGAGAAGGACGAAGAAAAAAATCTTATAAACGCCTACCTCATTCTTATATAAAGACATTTACAAATTAAATGGCCTTTAATAATTACCTTTACCTCTGGATATTCACTTTAATATTTTTTCTGGAAATCTAAGGTTGTATTAGAAAATTGTAAATGTATTTTATCATACGCTGTGCTTGTTAGGACAGGGTGGGACATTAATTTAACTCACATGCACTATCGAGTGCGTGCAGAATTCGTTTGCCGCAGCAGTATTATAAATAAGAACATATTGCGAATATTATTGATTTTGCCATAACAGTAAATTAATGTATATTGTGCAGTGCTAGCTACACTCAATTTAATGTATTTCCGTTTGTTTATGTCTATCAAGTATGAAAAAGAAGTCAGCCGCTAAATTATGCACACTGTTAGCATAGAGCTAAGCCAGCACTAACTTAGGCCGCACAAAATGTATTGACCCACAAGGTGTTTTGATTTTGGCGTATAGATAGAAATAGAATAGATAGAAGTCAAAACAAGGAACTGGATCAAACTAAATATTGCAAGCGACAACATGATAATTATACATATTTTGAGAGCTCATTATGACATTTTTTGCTTCCATGTTGTTTTGCAAGAGTTCAAGTTCAAGTTGAATGAATCCGGTGTTGGCTACTAATTGATCTATGGTGGAAGTTACAATGGAAGGCAGCTCTGACATCTGATCTCATCACTCACAAAAGAATGAGTTGTACAGCTGCATAGAAGAAGGTATTCATGTCAAGAGTGTCATTCACTACAGGAGCGACCATGATATGAATGTTCAGTGAGGTTAAAGACATCGACTCTGATATCAACCATGAACTTATTTGAACAATTAGAAAAAGACATTAGTTCAGTTTGGTGTTGGTTTTACTGTGGTCTGACTGTGAGTGTAAGTGAAGCTCTTACAACCAAATTTGGGATTTTGTACGTGCTGCTGTTTTCTTTATACAGTTGTTCATATTCCTCACGTGAGCGATGACTTGCCATAGTTTGTTATAATATTCCCTTATTTTGAACTTTTCTTTTGTTTTGACCCTTTAATTTTTTACACATACTTTCCCAAATACTGTGATTTTTGTGGAGTACATGGGGAGTGTGAAAGGACTCGCTTCCGTCATCACTGTGTGTGGAATGATTGGAACAATGTCTGAACTCTGAACATTGTAAAAGCGTTTTGGGTGACCTTGGTCTGTAAAATGCGCTGTCTGCTGTAAATAAACATTACTTACTTTCTTACTTTCTGTATTGTTGATGTGTGGATATATCTACTGTGTTTATCACGCTTTTAATGTTGCAAACCATAATTTTTATAAATGTTATCTGTTAATAACTGTGTTCACAAATGCCACTGGCTATTACACTGTGATATATATTACTGTTTTAGATAATACTGCCTTTTACTTCAGGGTTGTTTTTCTGTTTCATTATTTTTATGTTTACTTAAAGGTATATAGGATAAGATTTTCTGGAATTTTAGGAAAGAACCGCCCGCTCCAGAGGGAATACCTACTAAACCCTATCCCCAGAATGATTGACAATTAGGAGGACCAATAGTCTAGAAGATGATCCACGGGAGAAGAAAATCCTCCTATATACCTTTAAGTAACAGACCTCTACTGGTCTGAATGACTTCCTATCACATGGGAGTGTTAAATTATATTTAAAAATATGTAGTTGTCTGTCATTATTTAGAGTTGTATATAAATCGTTTTTTGCGTTATTGCATTTGAAACTCTATATCTCTTCAGTATGCTGTGGCATACTTTAACTATACTTGTTAGTGTCAATGTGAAACACAAATGACTGAATTTCACCTTCTCAGCCACACTTGAATAGTTCAGATTGAACCATCGAATGTCTAATGACTACAGTGTGACAGTACTTAGTGTCTTTTCAAGCTGCCTCTCATTCATCCCCCCTGACAATCCTGGTTTTGTCTATTACTTCCCCAAAAGCCATGATCAGGGTCAAAGAGCTGTCAGCGAGAATGACAAAGCGGATCACAAAAACGTAACCAAAATAAAGGAAGGCTGGGAGACTTTAACTGGAAATATTATGTCAGTGCGGTTCTGCTTAATCAATGCGATTGTGTCTGTACCTGAAGCCTTGGAAATGGGCCGAAGAGAAGGAGAATTTGAAAAGGCGGCGAGAGAAGGAAATGGAGAAAAAGGAGGGAGGGCATTTGGCACTGGGAGTAAATTGAAAATGATGTGCTGTGTTCCTGTGTGCGCGCGGCTAACATATTAACCCTGCTCTCTCACAGGTAGTCATTATCTTTGTGCTGGTGTGAGGGTGTGCGCATATGTTTGTGCTTACTGCATTAACCCTCATAATTCTATCATTAAACTGCTCTGAGGCTAACACTGCGGCCCTGCATTCATCTCCTCCTGCGCACCCTTCTCTGAATGCGTCTGAGGGCGTGTGTGTTTACAGTCGCCTTAATTGTTGTTATCATTCACGTGGCACCATATCCACCTCCGCCCCCGTCTTTGTCTCCGTCTGCCGTTTGCGGTATTTTGTTTTCACCCTTTGCCTCTATAACGGCCAGTTTTTCTTCTTGGTTTCTCGCTGCCTAAATAGCGCTCATTTCATCTCTCCATCTAGTTTGGTTTTGCCTTCTTCATTGTTTTCCCTACTCTACATTCCATATTCCCCATTCAGTGTTTTTCCAGCCAGCGCTAACTTTTATTAGGCCATGATTGGATTCAGAATTCATTATTCGCTGCTGCTTGTATGCAATCTCTGATCAGTTTGTGCCCCTTCTCCTCTCTCTCCTCATCCTTAGCATTTCTTCCAGCACATGCGATTACTGTGTGTATTTTATTTTAGAAAATAATGCAAGCTTGATGTAACCCAAACACCTGAGTCTAACTTAATCTTTTTTTCTCCTTCTCTTCCCAGGCACCCTCTCCTAGTGCGATACATATCTGCCTCCCCCCTCGGCAGGTTGCCATGGTCGCCATACCTACTCTCTCTCTCCTAGTGGTGCTGGTAGAGTGGGCAGGTCTGCTGGACGCCTCCCCCCACCTCCTGCTCCGGCCCAGCCCACGGGAACGCGATGCAGGGGCCATTATGAACTTCAACATTGCAGTGATCCACGCCGGCGCCACGGTGCAGGCCGAGGCAGCTGTGGCGGGGCCTGCGGGGCGAGTGCTGTACCCGGGCTTTGGTCGGGTCTATGGGTCTTTAGGAGAGAGTGTGGTCACCCAGTGGGGCTCTGCGAACGTCATCTGGCTACAGGTCAGACACCTACTGCTCATTCAGAACTGAACACAGGCACTGCGGTGACCCTCCATTATTCACAGACCCCTCACTCTGCAAAAGCCGAGCGCTGCTGCGTGTCTGAGTCTGCTCTTTGACCACAGTCCACTGTGTGAATTAGTCTGCTCTTTAACCACCTGTACTGTGTGCATACATGTTCTACAAATGCACTTCATGTCCTCTGTGACTCACACAGCCCCCTCTATGTCCCACACACACACCTGTGTTTTACAAGTATGTGTACATGTCTGTTGTAGTGCCCTCTCTCAAACTGACCTCCGCTTGTTCTTTCCTGTCCTCCTTCTTGCTGCAGGTGAATGACAGTAGTCCAAAGACTGTGCTGTCCCAGCTGTGTGAGCTCCTGGCTGCACGGCCCCTGCAGGGTCTGGTGTATGAAGAGGAGAGGCCCCCACGCACTGCCTGGGGCCCACTGGCCCCAATGCTGGAGTTTGTCTCAGCTCAAACTGGACTGCCCATAGTGGCAGTAGGAGGGGGAGCTGGGCTGGGGAGAATGCCACAGGTAGGAGAGGGTGTGGGAGGGGGTACAAGCATGTCTTACCCAAAAGAAACATACGCTTGATAACTATAAGTCCACAAACCTCAAGATGTGTATGTGACCCATGGGGCCCCTGACAAATGCCTGGTGTCATAGTATTGCAGTAGCAGCAGAGTGAATGTCCTGTATGTTTTTATTCAGAGGAGCACAGAGGGTCCAGAGGGAAGGGGAAAAACTAAAGGTCAGGGCCGCTGCTCCAATCTGTAGTGTTTGATGGGTAAATGGCATCCATCTTGCTCTAAAGTTCCTGTGGGAAGTAATCAAATGAGAATATATGTTTGTATAGGTTACTTTTTTGATTTTGTTAATCAAGTATTTTAAGACCAGAAGTGTTTGTGTTTACCAATAACACTTTCAGTTCCTGTTGAGGAATCAAATTGAAGTTCTTTGATGACGCTCTTTGAAGAAGCACCCTTGCACCATCGGCTGCAAATAGAACTCACTTTTTAGGAAGTGTTTTTTTCTGGACGCCATGAGAGAATTTGTGGAACAATCGGAGCTGCTCTCGCCCTGCAGCTGCATAAGTGCTGTTCTGTAAAACTTCAAACCCCTTGATGCTGCAACATTGTGCAAAAACACGGTGCAGTTCAAAGCGCTGCATTACATACACCGCTTTCTGTGCCAAATATTAATCCAGATCTGCTGCTCTCTCTCTCCTGATCAGGAAACAGGTTCCATCTTTCTCCAGTTCAGCTCGTCCACCGCGTTGCAGCTGGAGGTCATCTTCGAGGTGCTGGAGGAGTATGACTGGACCTCCTTCTCGGTGGTATCCACGCGTCACCATGGATACCAGGACTTCCTGTCAGTGGTGGAGGGCCTGACGGACGGCTCATTCATCGGTTGGGAGAAGAAGAGTGTGGTGATCCTGAACGTGACCGATGACCCAGGGGGGGCTCGCACGCGCAGACTGCTGAAGGAGAACGAGGCGCAGGTGAGACAGGGGGGAGGGAGGGGGACAGGAGGAGACCACCCGGGGCCGCTCCTCACACAGGTGGCACCCAGCCTTTTCCGTCCTTCTCGGTCTCTCCCTCTGTACCTCCGCAGCTCTCTCTCCCCTCTCTCCTCTATCACTCCGTTCTTCTTTTCCTCTTCATCTGCCAAAAGCAACAAACACACAAGAAAAAGCACAACTGCATTCTGTCCAATGGCCTCAAAACAAAGACTTCACACAGGTTTTCCTTCACAGATACTAAACTTATCACGTCATCTTCACTTTAGTAAACCATGTAAAGCGTCTTGGATTATTGTCGTTGTATTCACAGGTTGGGTTTAAAGGGGACTTATGATGAACACATTTTTGTTAAGCTTAAACCATATTACAACATTGTTCCCTCACTAGACAGACCTGAAGCTGATATTCAACCCTCTAGTGGTAGCATCGGGGTAGTGCAGGGTGATAGCATTTACTCATGATACTTGTTTCACCATATATTTACTACTTAAAGCTGCACTAACTGACTTTATTTTTGTATTCATTACGAAAATGCTATCCATGTCCATGTAGTGCATTGGGATATACATCATTTTGAAGAAAAAGTAGCGCAGATTTGTGCTGGCGTGACATTATATTTTAGATCGAGTTTTGATGAAACAAGGAAGAGAATGTGTTTCGGGTCGCGGATTGTGACCAATAGCAGCGCACCACTAGCCCCCACTTTCGTGAGAAATCTACAGGTCCGTTAGCATAGACGGCTGAGTTAGCACAACAAGACGAGGAGCTAACCTGAAACTTCGTGTGTCTTCGTCACCGGATACTGCTTACACAGCAAAACAGCCATCCAAAAGAAAGTCCCGTTCCTCCGCGCTTCCCGGTTCTATCGTTCTATGGTCACGCCATCCACGTGCAAATCCATATTCGTGTATTATCCATATTGGGAGACACTAACTCCGTCCCAACAGTGGGTGTGTGTGTGGGGCGATAGCTTCGTGGGTGCGGGGAGGGGAGCAGAGAGAGAGAGGCCAGAGAGTCCACGGCTTCAAAATCCCAAAGTCAGTTAGTGCAGCTTTAATATATCATTGCACATTCTGAAACATTAAATGGCAAAGTAAAGAGTAATAGTCTTGTGATCATTTTTAATGGCCAAAAATAAAGCATAATATTTATTCTTTAAATAACATGGATAAGTGCTGTGAAAGGTCATCTGTAGACGCATAGAGAGAAATATGTATAAATAATTGCTGTGATGTCGCAATTGTTTTTTTTTATTTGAGTTTAAAAAAAAATTTATTTAGTATCGTGACAACAGATAACATCATGGTTAACATCATGAAATGAAAAGGCAGAGCATTTTGGAGTCTTAGCTTTCTACTTAAAATCCATGATCATAAGTATCATGTTGTTCTAAAATATGTTCAGTACACCCCTACAAACTACTTCCAAACTGATCTAAAAGACAAGTCAGAAATGTAGAAAAAATGCCGACGATTGGACCTGGCTAATGATACATAAACCAGTGCAACAATTACATTTCCAAAGCTTCAAAGCGTAGCTGCATTTCTCCAACACAAACCTGTGAATCCTCTCAATCAAACACATTGAGTCATCATTTGTCCATCATCATTCAACAATTCATGATACTAAAACATCCATGCGACTATTCAAGACTGGATTCTGTTGTTTCAGAGTCCACCAAAACAGTAAATCCCAAATTTGACAGAATGTTTTGTGCTTTTGTCTTGTCACCATTTAGTTTGCCTGGACTAACTCCTGTGTCCCAAAGTTGCCTGTTATTTGCTTGTTCTTCTAACAACTTCATTCTGCAAAGACTGTTATATATCTTTCACTCCTTACATCTCTGAACCAGTCCATTCCACCCCCATCTTCCCTGCACCTAACACAATTCTTTGCCTAGAGATGAGCTCCATTTTTCCTTTTCATTCCCTGTAACCGTTTGTCCATCCTGACTGCTGCATTTTCACCCCCACCCGCCCACAACCTCGGGACCCCTATGTTTCCCCAGCTTGGTTTAATCTCGTTCTCAATGTCATTGCTTATGTCTCAGCATGGCCACTGCAGCCCTGCGTGTGTGTGTGCCTGCGCTAGTCTCGATTAGCAGCTACAGTGCATGGCGATTGGATTCCTTATCCTCCTCTTCACCAGTGTTGCCGCTATAACGTTGATATGTGCTCCGTAAGACTACATTGTTCCTTTTTAACACACAGCCTTTTTTAAGTGCTTTTCCTTTGGTAAATAAATGCTTTGATTGCTTTGTCAAGGCATGTGTTTTCCATCACATGCTATTTCACCAGATTTAAAGGTGCGTGATGTAAGTGTAGTGCAGGGGCTGTGGAACGGTAACCCTGCCCGCTGAGAAGGCCTGTTTTTGTTCATAGTATTTGGAAGTATACTTATTGCTTAACTGTAAGTAAGGTTGTTTCATTCTATAAACACAATCAGAACTACAGAATTGTATTTTTAAAGTATTTATCGTCAAACAACCAATTGTGTTCGATCTAGTCTCTCTTAAGATGTTCATGAGTGGCATTGTTTAGCTTTGTATTGGTAAAATTGGTTGATGACCTAATATAGAATATAGGATCAAAATAACCAGGTTACAGAGCGCACTTTTAAAGACGCTGTAGATTTGTGGTTCCTATTTGATCATGTTTTAACACTGTATCACAGCTGCATTTGGTCTGTTTCATTTGTACATGTTTTATTCTATATTTGTGTCTCCCACCTGTCCGTCTGCATATGGTTTTGAAGTTTCATCTCCACTGCAGGATAGATAGTGCCAGTTCTAATTGACACATAGTAATTTCAACACTAGCTTTCTTTTTGCGCAAAATACATTTGTAAAAAATCAAAGCAGCTAAAGCTATGCTTTATTTCAATGGTGTTTACTCTATTCAAGATTTACCACAGCAAAAGCAAATATGTCCCTGGGTTAGGGTTAGGGTTAGGTATGCCCTTCTTAAAGCTGGAGTACCTAACATTATACTAAACTGGTTCCAGCTCTAGTTTTCACATACATGTATTTTGACCTATTATTATGGAATTTCTTGTGTTCTTATTGATTCTCTGATGTGTTGTTGGCTGATCGATAACTTTGTTAAGCCCTCTGAGGCTACTGCTGCTGTGAATTAGAGATGTCCAAAAACAAATTGAATTGAGAATATAAAGGATTAAACATTTTCTAATGAGATAAAGACGGTATAGTTTGGTCTGACACGTCAACTTTTACAAGACTCTTTCTGAACGTATGAAACAAACCAAGGCGCTCCAGCTTTACAGCATATTCAAGCTTTCTTTTGCCAATTTGAGCATACACTTGTTAATTGCTTTGCTTACAGTGCTGATATTCCATCGCTCTGAAACGCATGGGTAGTCCCTTTAAGACGTTACTGTGGAGAGAATCGAGTATTGAGTCCTGTGTGTTTTCTCTTGTGCCGATACGTTTCTCTGTTTTTCTTCATTTCCTGTTTTTAAATGTTGTGTGTGTGTAAGTGTGTGTCTAAGAGCACCCCCCTCCCCCTGTCACTCCGCTCCCCCTTCTAATTCACTGGAGGTTTATTGGCATACAGGCGGGTTTGTTTTGCCAAGCCATTACGGTTCAAAATTCAATGAAGGCACCGTTCTTAAAATGTACTCTCGGCCTGCATTCCCCTCGTCTCTTCTGTGTCCTTTAATTCTCGTTTGTTTCTCATTTCCTTGAAGCCCCATTTCTCCTGACTTTATTTTACACTCTTTTTTTTATTTATAGTGCATTTTTTCTCCGTCAGCATTTAAGCTCACCACAGACTTTTCTCCCCGGATCCATCTTCCTTTTGTCAATTCTTCCTCGTTCAATTTCCCCTCTAACCTCCTAAAACCTTCTTTGGTCGATTTGGAGCCTCATCTCCTGCCTTCCTTAGCTCAGCATTTGTGCCAGAGTGCTGTCCCTCTGTCGCTCATGTCTTTCTCTATGCCCCTGCTAAATGTTGTATTTCTGCCGATCTTGCTCAATATCTTAGACCGTATACAGCTTACCCTGGCCTTGTTTGACTAAAATGTGTCAACTCTTGCTTTTTTGCTGTTCCTGATGGTCCCTCTTTCCAAGGAGTGCCCCCCCCCTTCTCCTGCTGTGCTCTCAGGTCCATTCTCTCTGCCCTGCTTTTAATAACACATGTCTGCGTTTAACCTCTTGCCTTGCTTTCCCTCAGGTGTGCTTGACTTCTAACCTTCCTCCCCTCCTCTGCCCTAGACTTTGTTACAATTTCTCCGTCTTGTTTTACTGTTATTATTCATAAATGTAAATCATTTCATCAGGCCCAGGCTCATTAGGAGCTGACCCTTTGGCTGGTGTTGGCACACAGCCTTGTTCTGTGTGTAGTTTCCTCTGAACAGACGGTTAATCTCATGAAGCTTATCACATCAGCACACACTGTCTCTCCTGTCTTCAGCACATATATACATTTGTGTCAGAGGCAGCTCCATGTCCATGTACGTCTTCTCCATGTCTTGTCCCCTCCTGATCTCACTAGGGTGTATGTGTGTCCCTCGCCCCCCCCTGCTCCCACCGCCCCGTAGGTGCGTTTGCTGTACTGCTCGCAGGAGGAGGCTGAGCTGGTGTTCCGGGCGGCCTGGGCAGCTGGTCAGGCTGGGGCTTCTCACATGTGGTTTGCAGTGGGTCCGGCTCTGTCCGGGCTGAGCATGGACACCATGCCCAGGGCGTTGTTTGCAGTGCGGCCCCAGGGCTGGAGGGACGAGCCTCGACGTAGAATCGCCCGCGGGGTGTCTGTGCTTACTCATGGAGCGGTGGCCATGCGGAAGGACTATGGAACCACAGGAGGGCCAAACTTTGTCACCAACTGCATGACTGATGCCAACCAGACCCAGAGACTACGAGGCCGGATGAGGTGAGAAAAAAAAAAGGAAAAAAGGGATTTTTACACATTTTCATGTGAAGAAGAATAATGCTGGATTGAGGCCAGATTGCGCTGCTGTGTCAGAGATCAGGTGCTCTGGGGATATCTGAATTTTGGTTTGGCTATCATCCATGCAAAATAGATGTTGTGTGTGCGTGTAGCTGTGAGTTGGCAAAATTACCCCAGCATCTAGCAGAGCATGTCTCATGTATATTAATGGAACAGCTTTAATATATTCCTCATAGGCTTTGCAAACAGACAGCCGAGCACTCGAACAGGTAGGCTAAGTGATGCTGCTTATCATTGTTCTCCATTTTCATGCTACTCTACTATTGCACTCTGTGCTCAATGAAAAAAAACGTGCTTGAAAATACATTAACGTCTATTTTTACATCAATGAGTGAATTTATTTTTAAAAGAGCACAATATTAGAAAGACCATTTTCTTTTGTACTTCAACCTGCTGTTCACTCTCTGCAATTACAAGCTTCTGCTTCGTTACAGGCGATCTGTCATGGAACAGTCAGGCGTTGTGTTTTGAACTCAGAATAATGACATGAGACATCCGCTGCAGCTGGCATAGGGTTCAAAGATGCAGAAAATGGAAATCAAATCATTTGTTAGTAGATTTGACTAAAACACAGCTCATGTGCACAGTATATGGGTTGTTTCAGGTAAAGGTCCTCACAGCTGTTCTGATGCATGCTACTCTGACATGAAATCATAGAAACAAATCAATAGCTGTGTATATAATGAGTGTATTGAGCGCGTATTTACTCGCTGCCATCTATCTTGCTCCATCGCCTTCAGGTACTTCAGCAACATTACACTTGGTGGCAGGGACTACTCCTTCAACGGCGACGGATACCTGTCCAACCCCTTCCTTGATGTTATTTCCTGGACTCCTGGACGTGGATGGGAAGATGTAAGGATTTTTAAAATACACTGTTTGTATTTTCAACAGATTTAACTCTCCTGGTTTATGACTTGGTGTGGTCCTGTCAGTGCTGGTTCAGTCTGTGCCAAAGTGCGAACGCTATCATGCATCACAGCCTTATGTTTAGTGGGTGTAGCTGTGGACTCATTTATGAGCTGCTGCAGAGGCACAGGAACAAAAGGCTTTTATTGTAAATGAGAGCAGGGTTTGTGCTGATTTAAGCAGAGCGGTACATGCGAGTGTTAGTGTGAACATGTGCGCTCCTGCAGGATGTATTTCTCATGAAGCAGACACAGCGACAGGCAGGTCAGAGAGCCTCACTGATGTATGCTTCACTACAGTCGCTGCAGGCAATGTGCGCTTGCCGATGACCATTTGACCGCACCGTTATACCCCCACTGAGCTACTACAGAGGATACTTTGTGCTGTGTGGAACTAAAGCCAGGGATTCTATTGCATATTGATAATAGGTTAAAATAAACTGGGCCACTAGACAAATGCCTATAGTAAATATAAACACATGCACACCAAACGACAACAAATGCACAATATGGATAGGAATTCACAATTTGAAACTTATTTAATGCTTCTTTTAACACGATCATATTTTAACGTGTTTTGAATTCATCTGTTAAAGCTGGACTACCTCACTTTATTTTTGTATTCATTAGGGAAATTCAATCCATATCCATGCAGTGGGTTGGGATATACGTCCTTTTGAAGAATAAGGAGTGTAATTTTATTTTAGATCGAGTTTTTGTGCAACGCGGAAGAGAATATTTTTTGGGACCAGATTGTGACCAATCACAGCGGACCACTGGCCCCCACTTTCTTGAGAAAAGCTACAGGTCTCTTGTTAGCGCACTCAGACAGCTGAGGTAGACGAGCATCATGGCGGAGGCAAACCTGAAACTTCCAGTGTCTTCGTTAGCAGTCACTGCTTACACAGCAAAAAAGCAAAGTCTAGTCCTCTGCGCTTCCCGGTTCTATCATTCTATGGTCGCGCTATCCACGTTAAAATGTGCAATTCATATTATGAGACGCGAGTCCATAAACAACAGCACATGAGTACGCGCATGAGTGTGGGGGGGGGGGGTAGTCAGGGGTGGTGCGGGGCGAAAGCTTTGTGAGTGCAAAACAGCTGCTCCTATATCACAAAGTGAGTTACATGTAGTCCAGCTTTAAGTTGTGTGTTAAGTGTTTCAAAGAGTAACTTGTACTCGCTCTGAGATACACAATGATTTTAAAGTAGGTGATGGTCTGTAATTATTGTGAGCATCTCTGTCATGGCATAAGTTTTGTACATGTGGTGTAGAGTAAAATGTGGTGTTGCTGTTGTTTACATATTCAGTGTAAAGCGATGGTTGATTGGATCTTCTCAAAATCTTTTCCCTTTAAAACACCTGTATATGTTACACTTGTCTGAATCAGAAGAGATAGTGATGCTCTTTTTCTCCACACATTTCTGTGAAACAAAGCGAGTTTCTCAACAGAAATACAGTCATACATGCACACAAACATGCTATAGAAACAGTGGATGTACACATCGGTGCTTGTCAGTCTCCTGCTGGGCTTAACAGCTCACCAGAGTCCAGTCACAGTGGGCTGACTTCTGCCTTATCCCACAAATCCCTTTCAATTAGAAGCTGCTCCTCTGACTCTGCGCTAACCTGGGGTACAGAGCCCGCCCACCTAAACACACACACACATCCCCTGCATACATCTCACACCGCCACCAATCGTACAGCAGCCTTTCTCACACATGCCATCTCATATACTGTACAGTCTCCTGCACAGAGACTATGGCTCTGGTACAGACCACTGTATGGGGCTTCTCTCTTCCTCTGAATGAGAATAAGGCGTGTTTTATGCCTATCTTTGATACTGGCTCATCTCAATATTTAATGTTCTCTTTACAATCACTGCAGCTACAGCTATGAGCAGTGAGAGCACTGCAGACAGGACGAAAGCATAACCACTTTTACATATTTCAGCTTTTATCAATTGCCAATTTTGGCAAATTGTTATCAATGTTTGTCTGTTTTCCAATGTTGTTTGTGGTTTTTGAGAGTATTTCATTTTGTCTCCACAGTTCACATTGAAAATATCTCTCTAGGAATGTTCATGTTTGAGAAAAACTATTTTGCAAAAAAATGAAATAATTGCAGCCTTTGTAACTTGCAAATGTTGGCCATTCACATTGTGATTTTGATTTGATGAAGATTTACTTAAGAACGTCGCAGTAATTAACTTTTTTTTTTTTTCAAATATGGTTGGCTTTGCTGCTGTGTATTGAGTCAGTATACTGTGCCTGTGTGAGAAAGAAATGTGGTTTTGGATTCTTGTGTGTGTCTTGAGCTGATGATAAAAGCTGTGTTTACTTGTGAGACTTCTCTGTTTCTTGTGGCTTACTGTGACTTGATTGGACGTCTATTGAAAAAACTGTGGTCCAAGTGTTTTCCAAATATTGTCAGTGTAGCACCTTCCTCCTTCCACTGCTTCAGAGGCAGACAGGAGCGGCTGCCAAGCCCTACACCGTGTCTGCATAAGCGCCTTATTCTTTTCTGTACATTACACTGTCTATACATACAGCCTTAAATCCACAGTGCAATACAAACACAAGGTGAAAAAGCCAAGCGTGGTTTCAAAACTGAAAATGACAACCGACGCTATATTGAAAAAGTCAACCACATTTTTGTCATGGCACCTTGACAAAACCCTTAAGCCTGCGGCACATGACGCAGCACATCTCCAGTTAAATCCACTTCCTATGTCAACGCTGGATCCCATGCATCCTGTTTACGAATGCACATGGCAGTTGTTGCATCTTGTTTAAATCAAGAAAAAAGTCCAAAAGGAACTTGAGCCGAGTGGGGAGTAAGGCATATTAAAACTCTACACGTTTCATCATCACACGTTTCATTTTACTCCACTAATTCCTTCATGAAAAACAATTACCGTTTTATGCAATCAATTTCACAGAAAGCAGCACCATCCATCATGAGCTCTTTACACGTGCTCAAGACTGTCGGGCCGTTGTTCACATATCACATAACAATAAATATTTAGAGGCTAATGTCGCAGCAAAGAGGAGCAGTGCTCTGTTAAATAATGGAAGACAAAGTCGGAGCTATGTAGTGTGAAGTCCTGGAGGTATTTATGGAGTGTAGTTTTGTGAAACAAAGTTGCTTAGGATTGCGTTATATCCGAAATGTTATTTATAGCCATTTAAGAAGGCGCATAGACATAGACCCGTAATACTTTACTTTGAATTGCCTGATATCGAGCTATATTATTGTAATGTGAAGTTTGAACGGTTATTATTTGCAGAAACTCATTGATGCTCTTTCAGGAATAGTTTCTGTTCTTCGGAACAGTCTAGTTTGGAAGAGGACTTTTCTGCTGTTTTAGATCATTAATTTCAGTCATCTCTGTTTTCCAATGTTTTATTAAAAGTACCAGTAGATGGCAGTGCTGACACCAATTAGAGTCTAGATAGAGACATTTTTTTTCAAATGAAGAAGTACAAAATAACTTGTATTGCGGATGTTTTTTCCCTGTGGTACGTGTGTCCAATGTCCACATGTGAGAAGCAGTTTTAAAGCTGCACTCGTTATAAATATGTACAGCAGCGTGATGAATGGACCCTGGTTGACAGCTCTCTCCCTGGTTCCCTCAGGTAGGCTGGTGGGAGAACGGGGTGCTGCGGCTCCGGTACCCGGCCTGGTCTCGGTACGGGCCCTTCCTCAAACCCCCGGATGATGCTCAGCACCTGCGCGTGGTTACTCTGGAGGAGCGGCCCTTCGTCATTGTGGAGCTGGCTGATGCCGCCTCTGGGACCTGCATCCGGGACTCGGTCCCCTGCAGAAGGCCTCTCAATGCCAGGTCTGAACTCTCACTTTAGCTGGTTACAGAGATGGAAACAATTGGTTATTATACTGTATTCTTTATAATTGATATTTGGATATATTGTTGTGTACAAGCAAGAGCTAACCACGCATTTAACTTTATTGTGCTCATAATTTAAGCCAGATGTTCTGAAAGGCAAAAGAATAGAGGTAAACACACATTTATGTCTCTGGCTCAGTGAGTCTAGGAGATTAGTCAAAATCAGCCCCATGATTGATTTTGAGAAAAGTTGAGGCATTACCAAGTGCCTTGACAGAAAAAAGTATCTCTTATTAAAAGTAAGCCATTATTTCGGTTTCTACATAAAGCAGAGAGAGTTTGATGAAACTAGCCACTTTTAGCAAACTCTCTGGAACAGAGGTATGTAGAAACAAATGCTTTTGACCTCCTGATAGATCCCAAACCTGGTAGAGCATGTGACCGTAGCTAGACCATTGAATACGCTGTGGCTCTCACGTTTTCAAAGAGTTTGTGCATGATAAAGTGAAGTTAATGGTGTAAACTTCACTTCATCAAAATACACCTTTTAAATAACCATGAATATTTGTTTTTGAGGCCACATCTCCCCTCACTCTAATAACAAGCAACACCCATTTCTACAATACAACGACATCCCGATACATCCACACTCGGATGCTGTCCTCACACTGCTTTCCAATGACATCAATCACTTGTCAAAACTGTGGCCACTTCACCGCAGCCCTGATCAATAGCCAGTCCCCCTCGGAGTTTGAGCGGAGTGACTCAGGCCTGGATCAAACACAGACCCACTGAAGCTCTATGGTTCAGCAGCCTCTCAAAGGATGACGCCACCTATCCCACTCCAGTCCATCACTCCTGTCACCAGCTGCACAGACAACGCTTTTCTGCCAGCTTCTCCCTCTCCATACGTCGGCAAAATCAAATGATTGTCAGTAGCGTTTTCAAACTAAACCAAAAAGAGCTGTGTATTATTGAGCTGAGGAAAGGGAGGATAGTGAAGTTGGCTATGGTAGTGTAAAAGGCAGATATAACCGTGGTTGATTACGTTTATTGTATGTTTTAGGCCTATAGTTGAGAAAAGAAAATCTAGATCGACTTCACAAATGTCCTGTCCATCAATTTCTCAACTAGAAAGCAAGTATGGCAAATGATCTTAAAGGAGCAATATGTAAAAGTCTGGCCAAAAGTGGTACTGCAATCACTGCCAATATTCTGTACTCCTCTCCCACATCTGCATATCCCACAGATATGCAGACGAATCCAGCTGAGACCATAATAGCTGAATAAGTAGTAGTAGTTGTTGAGTACTTTTGTCATCAACAAATCTATAACCAACACCTTTTTCACAGAGTTTTTATTCCTTGTTATGTCATGAATGATTTGAGAATCATAACGAGACTTTTTTTTAGTTCCACATGTTACTTTACCGGATCACAGACTGTTTGATTGGTAAAACGGTTGAGGGCGGGACATCCCAATGAAAACAATAACAAGATTTAGGAACTGTAAATCCAATTTTGAAATTCAAATATCCCGGTTGAACTAATGTTATCAGTTAAAGAATTATTTAAAAAGAGCATGGTTTATAATAGGCCTTTTGACATATTATGGCCATTTAATGATGACTTGACATGAAACTCTTACATATTGCTACTTAATATATTACCTACCTGACCAAAAAAACAAACTTTGTAAGAATATAATCACTGACTCATATGTTGATTGTTTAAAAAAAAGAAAAATGAATGGAGAGTCTAAATATCAATATGTTTAGCTCTTTTTTATATAGCTATGAAATAACCAGTCATATAAATTAATGAACCATTGACTGATTAAACAGATGAAATATCGAGAGTGCGTCTTCTTTTTTCTTGTAAACGTTGATGATCCTTGTTTTCATCGCACAGATTAGAACTTAGTGTTTTGGTTTGAGAATAGAAAACAACACAAACTGGTTGCTTCTGTCGTTGGTCACTATGTCGCCCCTTTGTTACTTTCTGTTAGCGTGACTTCTCTGTATTAACCGTGCATGTTTTTGTCCCTCTGTGGCTCCTGTAGTGCCATCCATGAAGGCGTGGCCCCCCTGAAGCAGTGCTGTAAGGGCTTCTGCATCGACATCCTCAAGAGGCTGGCTAAGATTGTGGGCTTCACCTACGACTTGTACCTGGTAACCAACGGGAAACACGGGAAGAAGATCGATGGAGTGTGGAACGGCATGATTGGAGAGGTGAGTTTGGCAACATCAACAACGATCAAGAAAGTTTGTGTTTACTTTTTGTATAGATTTTTTTGAGAAACTTGTTGATATCGTTGAAATTGTCATATATTTCTGTAATTCAACTTGAGTGAGAAACTACTATATGACATACAGACATTTATGAGTGTATAGTACATATAGACTCATTACAAGCAAAGGGACATATGCCTTTTTATGATTATGGCTTACAGTAGGGGCGACAGTGGCTCAGTTGGTAGAGCATTAGCCTTTGAGCCTGAAGGTCGTGGGTTCGAGCCCACCTTGAGACCTTCTCTACCGACTCCCACTGATGTCTGCTGTCGTTGTGTCCTTGGGCAAGACACTTAACTCCACTTTGCCTGAAGCCCCCGCTAAAAGGTCAAGGTTATGTTCTCACAGACAGAGCAGCCATTCTCCTGTGGACTCACCCCCTGCAGAGGATCAGTGAGGGGTTGGTGTTATGTGACCCTAACCCTGACCCAGAAATGGATAAAGGGGTAGAAAATGGATGGATTGCTTACAGTCCATTTTCAAAACATTAACAATTTCTGAGATTTTTTTTTACAGCTGTGAGCTATAATTATCGACAACATAACATATAAAGGCTTGAATCATCTCATTTTGCGTGTTTTGAGTCTTATATTAGTTTCAAATTATAAGATGGTAAATTGACTCGTGAACAATATTGTATCTTTTGACTGGTTTTAACTCATAGGAGAAATTAACCAACAAAATCATGTAATGGATTGCCTTTTCATTAACCTTCATAACTTTTGTATTTTGATCATTTCTAGTAGTATTGTTTAAATGTTATTTCAAACCTATATTTGTCACAAAAATACAACATTCTTGGTTGCTTTAGTTATTGTTGTGTTCCCCTGAATACCAATGAGACATGGCATCAGACCATACAAATAACAAACACAATAACATGTGTCGCCTGCAAGCATGAACACAGAGGAAAGCATGATGATGGATTCTCATACAAAAGAATGATAATATCTTGACTTCACGGTACTAGAAAAAAATACGATCCAATCAAATGAACAACCAGAAATGCATCTTAAGTGGAAATGAATTAGTCCAAGTTTCTCCAAACCTCTTGAATCAAAGCAATTGTTCTAATTTTGACCGCATGCAGATATGAATCATTCGCAGTGTTTGTGGAGCTCCTGCCTGCTGCCACGGGTGACCAGTTAAAACTAAGTGTCAAATCAATTGCACTGAGAGCTATGGCCACTTAACCAGCAGCAATCAGACAGCTGTCATTTATTACACGCACACACCGCACTAATGTGACCAACAACCTCCTGCACAACACAAGTGGGAAAAGCAGCGAGGGGAACGACTTACATAAACACAAATGTATCATTTACATATTGCACGGAACATTGGCCATGCTACATTTGCACTTTATGAAGGCAAGATGTTGTGATTAGTTGTGGCTATATGCAGTTAATTAGTTATTCGTATTTACATGCAGGCCGTGCATGGTCCTCTCCGTGTAACTGGGCAGTCTTCAGTATTCTCACACCAATACAATGTTGTGCGTGTTTTAGGCAGCATGTTATAATTTAAATGAGGACTCAAGGAAATGTGCAAGCTCAGCAATGTTGTATTATTATTGTATTGTATTGGGAAAAGCAGAGCAGAGAACTACAGCCACTGTATGTAAAGCCAGGGGTGGGCAATGTAGAAAATGTTTTTTTTTTCTTTTGATAACAATGATAATGTAACCGCTAATACATAGTCAAGATTCACATATATCTGTGAATAGTGTCATTATTTCCCTTGTAGATTCAATGTCATGAGTATTCGTAATTCCAGGTTCAATATCTTTTAAATGTTATTTTTATTTTGAATGTGCATATTTAACATCTATGGCAGAACAGCACTATCATTTATCACATTTTTCCCACCACTAAAAACTTGCTAATTAGATTGTAAGATCTAAGCATCTAATTAGATGTTAAGATCTTGGCCTGCTAATATTTCTATTATTCTCTCCAATGTTAATGTGCCCAAAGAATTCCCTTCTTCTTTACTGAATATATCACAACTTGTAGCGACCCGCTTTTTTTTGCTTGGGTGCGAGTAAATGTTGTTGTTTTGCCTAAAAGGTTTCACAATATGGCATCAACCTTAGACAAGAGAGTAACTAGTTTCCTTTCTAGTTTTTGAGCAGCAAAAACATCTGTAGCTAAGTAGTATACTAGTACTGAGGTTCAAATTCAGATTTTTATTTATTTTCAGTTAAAAACCACATTTGAATATTTGTGCAAAAATAACCAGTGTCCACAATAAAGAAAAAAAAACTATCACCGGAGAAACACACAGGTAAACACTTCAACACTGTGGGAGAAAATGTAAAAACAAGGAATTAATTAAAATGAGTCAAAATCAAGCACACACTAAACAAAATAAAGTGCTGGATAAAAAGGTTCATTCCATGCAAAGAAGTAACATCTCCATGGCAACAAGCATGTGTCAGAAAAGTTGCGCAGTGCTCCTTTAGAATTCAAATGTAGCTCCTCTGCTCCGGAGCCGTCCACATGCGAAAGGTTAAGGAAGTGGTTCCAAATGTGACGAGGGGCTTTTGATGTGCTGCTTCTTTGATCACTTAATCCACAGTTAAAGTTGAGGGGCGGATGCTTGTCTTTTGGCTTCACTTTATTTTCTTCTGAAGCGAGGGCACGTCAAGCCCAATGCAGATTATCAGTTCAATGGTACAATCAGCAGACGCAGCACTTTGGTAGGAAGAGGTTATAGCACTTTTCCCTGGAGAGATTGGTGTGTGCGTGTTTTTGTGCATGTGTGTGTGTGTGAAAACAAAAACATCTTTGAAATCTATATGAAAACTGTGCTGAAGCAAATATCTACTATAATGGATTATAAGTACGTTGACCATTTTAAAATCAGTCTTTCCCTTGACTTTTAAAGTGAATTGTTTTGGCCATGTGCTGGTGTGGAAGACGTTATCAATCTGTTTCAAGGACTGCCAAATGAAGTGCTTTATGGAAAAACAACATATTTAGTCTCCAATGGGTCCTATTCTTATTATATCAAACGTGTAAACCTCAGACGTAACAAGAAGTGTGATCCATTCTTTCAAGCAATTAAATATTTCTCTTGATTAATTACACTGTCTTTAAAATGTGAGAAGTTGTACACTGTAAGACAATAATCCTGATAGTGTTGGTATTTTGTGACAAGCATTGCAATATAAACTTACCATTCAAACATTTCCCATGTATTTATTTCATTGGGACAGTGTGTGTGTGTGTTCACATGATAAAAAAAACATGAATACAAGCACGCTGGAATGTGGCCATGTTGGCCCAAGGGGCTGGGGTCACCAAGGGCTACTTACAGCAAATAAAATATACATAAAAACAACAACCAGTTTCTCTCTCTCTCTCTCTCTCTCTCTCTCTCTCTCTCTCTCTCTCACACACATGACCACACACTCTCACAAACACGCACACACAAACGCACACCCAGTCCATTTCTAAGTCTGTTTCCACATTAATAATCCACGAATCCAAGAGTCCATAACGTTTGATTCCACATTATTACACACTACCAGCGTTTGAGGTATTTCCTTTTGATCTTGATGTGTCTTTGAATTTAATAATTTAGTGGAATATTTTTGTTACCTTTTAGGCGTTTCTTTAAAATCTTAAGAGTTTAAAGACACAGCAAAGACTAATCAGCTACACAGTCATTTGTGACCATTTAATGTTTTATTTATATCCATAAAGAGAATGTTGAAGAAAAGGCAAGCCCCGGCGATTCAAGATGGCGCCCTATTCAAATGAATGGTTGTGCTCAGTGGCGCTTTGTGACAGCATGGGGGCTGAAAAGATTAGCGGAAGTTGCCTGAAACTCGCAAAGAACTTTGGGAAACTCGCCTGTATTTGGGCATCGTCTGGTCCTCCCGGTTCTGCGCAGTGAATGATCTCCCATAATGCGTTGCGTCAAACACCCGTGTGTGGGTCTCACACCGGGTCTCACGCACGTGCACAGAGGGGCTCGGCCGCGCTCTGACCAATCAGAGCAGTTCATCAGAGCGGGAGTTAGAGCGAGAGCCAGAGGAGTAGAGTTTGTGGCACTAAAGTGTGGATTTAAACAAAACCGAAGGATTTAAGAAGAAAAAAACTTCAGGATGACAAGGGACACTAAAATCCCCACAAAATCCTATCTTTATTAAAGCTGTAGGTTCTCTGTCAGCTGAGGTTTTGAGCTGTTTTAATATGCATTGAGTTCTATGGGGAAAATTTCTGGGTAGCCCACGTGAATTTAGTCTGGTTCAGTCTGCAGTACCGCGAGAATCCCCTGAGCACATGAGTTATTCAGCTACCCATGAACCATTGCGACACGGCAACAGGTTTTCAACAAGCTAGATGAAAAAAAAGCAGATGGTTGGTTGTGTTGTCACTCCCGTATTCGTCCCGGAAACCGGATTCGTCCGGAAGTTCAGTTTGCACATGTCAAAAAGTTTAATATGTCCTTAAGTGGTGACTGGCTAAGTTTAGGCGTCTGATTAAGATGGTTAAGTTTAGGGTTAAGGCTGGGTTGGGGTTATTTTATGGGAATGGCTGGTTAAGTTTAGGCATGAATAGGTAGTTTTTTATATTTACTTCCGCTTCCGTCCAGATTCCGTGACGTAATCTACTGCTGCGTATGCTCATTGGATCAAACTGAACTTCCGGATGAATACGGGAGTGACAGGTTGCACACAATATTACATTTTTTGATTGTATATGTAGCTTGCAGTACATTGGGGGACGTAAGCTCAACCAATCAAAAGCTTGATCACAGGACTACCAAGAATACTGGGTATTGTAGTTCTAGGATGAAGGCTCGCAATCAAACCGTGTTTTTCAGAAGCTAGATTGATCTCAACCTTGCTATTTCACCCATGTCTGACATTGCGATCGCTTTAGCACCACATAGCTGACATAGTTAAAACTTTTTCTGAAATCCCTAAAGCCTTGTAGAAATGCATTTTATTTCTTGACACTGAAGCTCCGCCCACTTCTAAAAATATTAATAACACACCAACATTTCAAGACAGCTGGTATAACAAAAGTTGATTAATGGAACAATATATATTGGGGTTAATGTTTATCACCAGTACATTTTCTTTGCATTAGTGCGACAATTATTTCTGTTTCCTTTGTAACACTGTACATTTTAGTTGTAGGGTTTTTTGTGGTATTTTATCGCTTTCTATTGGTTTCATTTCAGACTATTCATACATTCAGACAATTTCAAAACTGGCTTTTTTGGAAATTCTCAAAAAGTTAGCATGGTTCAGGTCGTGCATCCTTTCTGCACTGGGTCAGTGTAACACCATGAACACTGAACTGCAGTAAAATGTACAGCTAGAAAAAAGCAAGAAAAATACAGATAGTATAGCACAAAACAACTACAGTTTCAGAGCTACTCAGGACTTTCTGTCGATTCCAGCGTATTCAAAAGTGTAGTATCCAATTCCTATAATTCCTTCTCACTTGCCATTGCTTTGTGTTGCTGTAGGTGGTGTACAAGCGAGCGGACATGGCCATCGGGTCTTTGACTATCAACGAGGAGAGGTCCGAGGTCGTGGATTTCTCTGTTCCTTTCGTGGAGACGGGAATCAGCGTGATGGTCTCCCGTAGCAACGGCACTGTTTCACCATCCGCCTTCTTAGGTAAGTGATCCCATTTGTGTGAGACGCCTGAGCAACGTTCAAATCCAATCCAATATGCGGAAGAGAAATGTCGAGTTTGCATAAATGTGTGCTGTCTTTGGCTGCTTGTCCTACATCTAGATTAGCCATTACTTTCCCTAGTTGTTCTTGTCTTCCCAACTTATAGTTTTACTCCGTCAGCAAACAGAAAGCTCTAGTGGGCCCTTTGGACGACACTGCACTCAAGCGATTATGGAAAAACTAACACTTTGAGACAGAGCGCGTTTACAGCAGTCATTTTGTTGTTACTCCGTGGAGCCTTTCACTTTAAAGTTTAGGTCAAAGAAAAGAACGATTTATGCTGCAATGTTATGTGACTGCAGTGAAATCCATTTTGATTCTCTGGGGTATTTAACATTTTTGCTTCATAGATAATGTTTTTTTTGTTTGTCTCAGCCAAAAATGTCTTGTAAAAGTAAAAAAAAAATGAACACATCAGATCATAGCATGCTTATTAAAAAGCATGTCACTGTTTGACACTTTGGGATATCAAGTGATTGGTTAAGTGAGGACAGTTATTATTCTGTCTGATCTAAATATCTGAAGACAATACTGTATATGAACGTGAAAACTAGAGATTGGAGCAATGCAACTATTTAAATGAGTTTGGTTAATAGTTATATTATTTGTGGCTTTATATCAGTGAAGTAGGCCAGCTTTAAGTTTTGTATTTGAATCCTTATAAACTTCTCTACTTTGATTATAAATCCTGAAAAAAGGGTCCTAGAGATCATATCATTAAACCTTCACTAAGGCAGAGATTTGCACCACTTTGTAATTGGGAAGTTTAACACATGTTAAGCAAATAACCACATTCAACACATTACATTTTGAGCCGAGTATTGTTATCGTGAAATCGCATTCATTATTTTCTATGTAGTTTTAGTATGTGTTTGTTTTTACTGCAGCGACCACTGCTCCTGACAAATTTCAGACAGATAGTGGGAAGGGAAGGATGGATCAAATCCAGCGGACACATACATTACTTAATGGTCTAAAGCCAGATCAGGATTTTGTTTTTGTAACTCATGCAATTCAAAGTATTTCACTAAAACAAAATGAACGCCGGTTATCAAAAGCGTCCGTAATTAAACATTTTAACTAAAAAAACAAACACAAAACTTTAATGATAGGTCTTTTGTGTAGAGGTTAATGCTTGTTGATAGCTGAGTCACTATGGATTCATTGATTAATTGGATAGATTTTCTGATTGCAGTGTTGCACATTCTTCACATTCTTTTGTCAAGACACAGGAGTCTTGACAAAAGAATGTGAATTGAAATGAATGTGAATGTATTTTCTGCTGATGCACGTTGCTATAAACCTCCATCTGCATACTATAACTATAAGTGGTAATTATCTGTGCCTTAATATAACAACGCTTCCTCCTGTTCCCCTCAGAGCCCTACAGTCCTGCTGTGTGGGTGATGATGTTCGTCATGTGTCTGACCGTTGTGGCTGTGACCGTCTTCATCTTTGAGTTCTTCAGTCCTGTGGGCTACAACCGCAGCCTTCAGACAAGTAAAAGTCAGTAACAGTCTTCTTCTGCACCTCTCCTGGTGCTTCTGCATGGACACTGAGTTTGACAAGCTTTTACTTCGATTCATGGTCTCCCCACACCACACACTCTACGTCTACAGTTTGAAGACACAACAGAGGCTAACTATCTTTATGGCATCTTCTATCCATAGCGCGTTGTTTTCAGCCCAAAAAGTCAAATTAAAATGTGTGTTTTTCCCATGTTCTTGCTTACAGAGACTGGAGGGTCGACTTTCACCATTGGGAAGTCAGTGTGGCTTTTGTGGGCCATTGTTTTCAACAACTCGGTGCCGGTGGAGAACCCCAGAGGAACCACCAGCAAGATCATGGTTCTGATCTGGGCCTTCTTTGCCGTCATATTCCTGGCCTCGTACACTGCCAACCTGGCTGCCTTTATGATCCAGGAGGAGTACATCGATACTGTGTCTGGCCTCTCGGACAAGAAGGTACGGCTGGAATACTGATTTAGAAGCCGGAGTACAAGACGAATTAAAGTCTTAATCCAATATCATTGAATATTAAACGGATAAAAGCACCAGGGTTTTTACAGCGAATGACGTCCAATATCTATTAAGTCTATTACCACCATTTATGAATGCATAAGGAAAGCAGAAAAGTATACGTTCACATTTTTTATAGTTGTATTTTAAAGTTGTAATTGATGGAAGGGACAGTATGTAATATTTGAATTTTATTATACCGGTCCTCACAGTAGAACCAGAACGCTCCATTGATTTGAATGTAATTTCAAAATGTTCTACCAGTCATTATTTCTTGATAACGGACCTCTAAAACTTGTTTCCCATGGCAACGCAATTTTTGCTTGTAACTCAGGTGTGGTAGATCATGCCGTAAGTAGTCCGGACACTTTGTCAACAAGCATTTTTACGCTAGCATTTTAGATCCATGGTGTAGCTCTGCTCAATTAACACAAATAACAATCAATCAACACATTTAAATGTTAATGGGACAATACATTAGATGTATAGATTATTAACACACATGCACAGAGGTTTTCAGAATTATTTGTTAACATTTGCATGACAAAAAATGCGGCAAAATGCGGCAAAATGCGATCACAGTAAACCCGGAAGTAACTATAAACATTAATAGAACATTTTGAAGAGAATCTGATTATGGATTTAGGTCGAGTTTATATTTGGGTTGCTCACCGCTGATGTTGAGAATTCTCTGTTCAGTTTTCATGTAGTTTGAGAAAGTTCTAGTTTTGAATGTCCAGTTCAATATAAATACGTAGCTAGCTTGACCTTTTCTGAACAAAATTGCTCTGCTATGATGCTGTCCATAATATCTACAATATGTTTACATTTTTCAAGCAGATTATGCAATGGTTTGGATTGCCATTTTGTTAGGTGAAATTTAAACGTTTGTAGCTCTATCTTTATTTTCTATTTCTATAACTAGATATCGCCAAAAAAAAATCACAAAATTTAAACATTTCTTTAAATAAAAACAGGTACAAAAATAAGTCTGTACTGTTCCATCTAACCTCCAGGTTTGCTTCAGTAATCAGTGCAGGAGCAACATGTGTCACAGGAAGATTTGAACAAAAGCGTGATTGTGATTTTAACGACTTTATTAAACCACTAATTGTGCATATTTCACATGGTTCCATTAAATGTGCAGAAATTGGCCTCCATAAAATGTTTGTGAATAAAACCCATAAAATCAATAGAATTTAATGTGACAACTTTGAAATGTGGTAAGTTAGGAATCTTTATTTGTATGGCATACTTTCTCGACCAAGGTCACACCAAACACTGTACGATTTTATGGACTTCATTCTGTACTTAATGTTTCAAGAGACTTTCCAACAGTAATTTCCATATTACTTTGTGGAGAATACATCATCTAGTCTATATTTTGGAATTATTAGATAAAATATTGTCCACTGGCGTCATATTCATTGTTCTAACTGGGCAGAAACAGAATCACAACAGATTTTCATACAGGACCTCTTCCTATTCAAAAGTTATGAGATTTTGAAAAGCATTGTGCATCTGTCTTGGTGGACAGAAATGGGTCAGGCAGGTTGTTTTTGAAGCCGGGCATTTCTCAGTCTCAGACCTCTCCTTTAGTTTCAGCATCCCGAGGAGCAGTACCCGCCCCTGAAGTTTGGCACCGTTCCCAACGGTAGCACAGAGAAAAATATTCGCTCCAACTACCCAGGCATGCACCAGTACATGGGCAAGTACAACCAGAGAGGGGTGGAAGACGCCATTGTCAACCTCAAGACTGGGTAAGTTTACAATGGTTTGATGTTATGATTCCTGACACCTACCACCAGCAGGGTGTAGACCGCGGCGTGATCTATATATCAGAATATCAATATTATTTCCCTCCTGCTGCCGGGGTCTAGGCGCCAAGAGCACACCCGCAAATGTCACATACCATTGAATACTATTGTATATGTAAAGTATACAGAGGAGCCCTGTAGCTATATCCACTGCTTTGTTCTTTGATGCTCTCTGCACGGCCCACATGTGATCTCACTTCCATCTTTTGTCACATTGCTGCTCACACTCCTTCAATCCTCTCACATTTCCTTCTCCACCTCGACTCATCTTCCTCTTCTTCCTCACTGCTCTTCATAGGGCGGAAATAGGTAATCACAAAATCCTTCAAGAGTTATGTATTTGTCACAAGAAAATGTGTCCAAACAGTCTGTACAAGCTCAATGTGACCAGGTCTGTACTGTACTGTATGTGATAAATCAGAATCTTGAATAGTTTGTTAGATATTCTGAAGCTGTCTGAAGCCAAATTTTGAGACAGAAGGCTCCTGATTGGTCAGTTCTTAGGAGTCATATCTGGATTTATGAAGACATTATGAAATTAAAACCATCAGGATTTTACAGCTTCCATCTGTGTTGGATGTTCTCTATACACCCCTCTACAGTTTGTATCTACTATTTGTGATGAAATGCCTCCACCAATAAGGAGGAGACCAGTAATATCTTGAGTATCAATACTGGGTATCTGTGAAACCCATCCTTACCACTTGAATGAATGTAAAGTAGCACCTCTGATCTTACTGTATCACTTTTCCTCTTTGCGTTTCTTAGATTTTCTACTCCTCTGTGTGCATGTCGCGTGTGTGCTTTAACTTTATAATCCTCATCAGCTGTGGCTCCTCTTCTATGTCTTTGGCTCCTGTAGTGTGTAAATCTGTCACCGCGCTCCTCGCTCTGTTTAAATCCTCTGCTTTCACTCACATCTGATTTTTCTTCTCCCTGTCTCTGCGTCACCACTCCGCTCCTCTTTTCATTTCTTCGTCATGATTTCCTTCTTTATGCTGTCTATATGAAGCAGACCTGTCTGCTGCATATGCAACTCTCTCTCAAGGAACGCAGACTTCACCAGCCTCAGCCGTGCTCTGCTTTTTTGTCATGACTCTTGAATCATGAATGAATTCTCCCAAGGCTTCTGTGTAGTGTGTGCATCAGTGGGGAGTCTACGGGGGGATTTTATTATTGCATTTATAGATATAGGGCTGGCGCATAAATCGCAAATCTTAATAAGATGTGATGATAGGAAGTGCCTGCACACCAAACTTCAGCTCAGTCTGTTACAAAGTAACATGCATAACACTAGACAGGAGCAATATATCTTGTTTTTGGCAAAATATAGTATTTTATCTTACCTTTTGTTTGACATTTTGGATGTCCAAGTGCCATCTGAACTAATGGAAACTCTCCTCTCATTTATCTGCAGGAAACTAGACGCTTTTATTTACGACGCTGCAGTGTTGAATTATATGGCCAGGAAGGACGAAGGTTGTAAGGTCAGTACAAAGCTACTGTTTGAGTGGTTTAGAATAAGCCTCTTATAATACTGACACTTTGAATGCCTTTGTGATACCCAAAAAGGTCTAAACACTTGATTCCACATTAGAGCTGTAATTAACAATCATTTTGATGATCGACGAGTTGTCCAGTTATTCTTTTGATGAATTGATTAGTTGTTTGGATCTTGAAAGGTCAGTGAATATGGGATTGTTGTACTTTTGACCTAAACAGGGCTCAAAGTGATGCCCCTAGAGAACATCTTCAGAGAGGTGATGTGTCACATTTGGTTGTTTGATTAAAAATATCGTCTAAACTAAATCTAATTTAAAATTGCAGTTATTATAGAAATATCTCAGTGATAAAGGTTGAAGTCTATGGAAGGTTCAAATGATGATTAATACATTTCTAAAATTCAATCATTAGATGTTGATTAGATCTAGGGCCGTTAGGGCCAGGGCCTTCTCTCCTTCTCTGCCTAAACATGTACATTAAATCTTAATGTATTTTCCACTAATATGTATTTTCTATTTTTCTATTTAAATGAACAGTCCAAGATGAACCTAAACTAGTCCAAAATGCTTTAGGGACATTATTGGCATTACTGAGTCCTTATGGTTCACTTTTCTATTTTAGTCCAATTCTGTAAAATAGATATCGAGCTGGTGTAATGATATTCCTTTGAAACAAATTTACACAATGTCCCAGTTACACTGCGTTTTCTGTCTAAATGTGTATAGTGTGCAGATCCATGGCATCATTATGGGAATAAGAGGTGGATTATTGCTGCTGGGCCCTTGGTAAAGGCCCACTCGAGAAAATGTTGACCGCCACTGATTATTTTAGTTATTATTATGAAAAAACATATGCTTAGAAAAGGTGCATACGTGACTTGTTTGCTGAGGAGTCCCAATCTAAATAGTTTTGCTTGTAATCCATCTATATTTGATACTAGCAAATTACATTAGTTATTGGTCATATCTGCAAAAAGGTGATTGAGCTGACCGATAAACACTGGTTATTAACAGTAAAAGCATCAAATATTTACTTTCCAACCATACTATGACATTACTATGGCAACAAGAGGGTCAGAAAAGTTGCACAATACACATCAAACTTCAAAATGTATACTGTAATATATTCCATCAAGTTAGTTTTTTATTGATACATCTTCACTTTATTTATCATGGAAAATTGCACAAGCACTTACCACAAGCATTTTCTGAAACCGTGCAATTTGAAGCCACAATCACACAATACAGCGCTGCTATTTATTCCTCTGAATAATGGAAGCGTAAGAGTACGGTCATTCAACTGTAGTGTTCAGAATATGTTTTTATTTTGTATCACGATCAAGACCATTCTCAGCAATTGTGTGAGATTTTTCATTTCTGTAATGACCGTTCAAATGAGCTTCCAGGATCAATAGTGTATTTAGTGTTGATTACAAGCCTAATGGCAGTATTAGTCATTTCTAACTGGACGTGCTTTCTCAGGTGATGACCATAGGCTCGGGGAAGGTATTTGCCACCACAGGCTACGGTATCGCCTTGCACAAGAACTCTCGCTGGAAACGTCCTCTTGACCTGGCTCTGCTGCAGCTGGTGGGAGATGGTAAGTGTCTGCTGGATGGGGCAAACACACACGTAATTAGGACAATGGCAGAGTGACACAACCTGAGGAACAATCCGTGTGGAGCCGGGAGCGCGGGGGGCGGATGGGCCACGCGGGGGGTAGATGAATCAAGTAGGAGTGCTGGGGGCTGTGGAGGAGGCAATAGATGTGAAGGCATGTGATTGAGACTGAGGGTAAGGCTTACACTTGCACTATGTTCTTTTGAGGACGTGATCACACTTATTGGTCTGGTTCCCTTAAACTGGACCGATTCTGGCTCACTCATCACTTATGCAGAATTTACTTTTTAGTTTTTTTTTTCATGTATTTATTGTTTATTTGGTTGGGTCAATGCATGATAATGAACACACCTCTCTGGATTGTAACCATGGCCTAATTCGCTTTCGTTGTCCCACAGTCGCACTCACAAACACACACTTATTCCCCCTGATCTATAGAACATGTTTTTTGTAGTTGGGGAAACCGCAGCACCCGGAGGAAACCTGCACAGACACAGAGAGAACATGCAAACTGGAGGTGGAATCTTACCCAGCACTTTCTTACTGTGAAGCACAAGCGCTAACTGCTGTGCCACGTGCTACTCATTTTATAATACTGTTTAGTAATCAAAAACGGACTGGCACAGACTTGTAACTCCGCCCCTTCTGTCTAAAAGCTGTATTACTATAACATCACACTCACATGTCTGGCTTTTAAAGGGACAAATGTACATTTAATGGTCTAGTAAAGTTATTGCATTTTCAATCCAACTGCTGTGACACATTCAGCTTCTAAGCACTGAAACTAAATTCACTTAACAAATTTAACTTAACAAACTGATGCAAACCACCACCCAAAACCAGCTAAATTTCACTTTGGCAACCCAAACAAGAGTCTCGTTCTGCTCTCTGTTGGGATAATCTGCTTAAACTAGATGCCACTGCACCAGCTGCTACGGTGGAGTGGAAACTGATCTTTGAAGCAGTCTTTTCCCCAAGTGAGCCAGACTGGGTCCAGTTACTGTGAACCAGACCAGTGTGAACGCGCCCCAGTGGTTTCTCAAACGTCTCCTTGGCTCTTTCACTTATTGTGGCTTTGGAGCAGAGGAGATGGGCCACCTCTGAAAGGTTACATAGAGCTTTGTTTGAAGATAGAAAGATGATTACTCTGACATGTTTTTAAGGTTTAATAGCTCAATGTAGTTTGTTCATTAACTTCCCCATTTTCTTGAATAGACAAACTTCAAGGGGGTGTAGGATTTAGATGGACTTTTATAAGTGTCGTAAAATAAACTGTGCAGTAAAGAAGAGGGAAAAGGCTGTAATTCTGAAACATGGGAGAATTTTATTAACCATCAGACGAGCGCAAGGGCGACAACCTTTCACTTTTTTTGTCCACCCCTAGTCCAGTCCACTTTACCTCTCTGGGCCAGTCTAGTTTAGTCTGGTCGAGTCCTTTCAAATGTCTCCTTATATTTATACTCCCGCTGTTGAAAAATGTTTTAATCTTGCTATAACATGTGCCTGTGACATTTCCACGGGGACATCCAAAAGATTTCCAAAAGTTACATTTCTATAAATTCAATTCAAGTTAACACAAGATTCAGCACAAAACACTGTTTTTTATTATGTATTTAATTATTCAGTGTTTAAGTATTTATTAAGTTTTTTTTTATTGAACTTATTAATCAAATTGATAATGAAAAAAATGTTTACAGTACTATAGCAGTATTTTTTGTCCAGCAAGTGGCCTATGTAGTGATGAGGCCAATGTATGTATTTGTTATACAGTGTTTCCCACAGGTTTGAAGACAATGTGTGGTGGTCGGCGGGGGGGGGGGGGGGGGGGGAGGGAGTGGGGTACAGTGGTAGAGGACAATCTTGAGGTCATGAATCCAGTGAAATTAGTCGCACACCTTTTTACAGTAATAAGTTACAGCAGATCAAAAGTGACATGTTTTGACAATTTTTAGGCTATTTTGGACCAAAATGGCTGCTTTAAATCAATATTTCTACAGTAAAAGTTTCTGGTCTTTGGTACAGTGGTAGAGGGCAATCATGAGGTCGTGAATCCAGTGAAATTAGTCGCACACCTTTTTACAGTAAAAAGTTACAGTAGATCAAAATGTGACATGTTTTGACCATTTTTAGGCTATTTTGGACCAAAATGGCTACTTTAAATCAATATTTCTCAATATTTCTACAGTAAAAGTGTCTGGTCTTTGGTACAGTGGTAGAGGACAATCTTGAGGTCATGAATCCAGTGAAATTAGTCGCACACCTTTTTACAGTAAAAAGTTACAGTAGATCAAAAGTGACATGTTTTGACTATTTTGGAGGTATTTTGGACCAAAATGGCTACTTTACCTCAATATTTCTCAATATTTCTACAGTAAAAGTTTCTGGTCTTTGGTACAGTGGCAGAGGGCAATAATAAGGTCATGAGTCAAGTGAAATTAGTCGCACACCTTATTCCAGTAAATAGTTACAATACTTGAAAATTGCACTAGCGGACCAAATTGTGTACTTTATACATGTAAACAATAGAGTGGCTATCCTCCTGAGGACTCACAATCTGCCGGAGGAATCGTAGGGGGCTGGTGCTATGTGTGCCGGGTGGCATCTCTATAAGGTTTTAATCACAAAAACGTGTCTCCCTGACCCCAGCGCGCTTTCTGTTCGATAAAAATGGGTGACTCCGAAAGGACGTTCCGCTGTTACCGTAAGTTCTCAACAAAACGCGCACCGTCTTTTCCCCGATGCGGGCCGCATGTTCATAGAGCTGAAAGATGCGGGCCACTTTACCGCGGTAAATGAATAGACACAGCTGCTTACAGCGATGATCGCTGATGGAGACGGAGACACGCGGTGTGCACGAAGGGGAGGGGCTGTGTGTGTGTAGGTCTCTGTATGTGGGAGAGACGCGTAGCTTGAGTGAGAGTTACGAAGGGCCGCCACATTTTAAACCCCCTCCCCGCTGTCAAATTGACCGCTGCGGCGGCACTAGACGATGCATGTTTTAAATAGCGTAACAAAAAAAATATATATATAATAATACGAAACGCAATTTGTGGCGGGCGGTCTCTAATCTGTGGCGGTGCGCCACAGATTAGTCTATGTGTGGGAAACACTGTTATATACTAATTTGACACCATAACATGTTAATAGAAATATTTAGGTTTATTATTAATTATTAAGTAGAGTGCTCTGATTATCCTCATTAAATCATGGGACCAGTTAAAACAGTTGTCTGCCAGGTTTGTTTTGCTCCATCCATTAATTTTCGCTAATAGTCCAGCAAGTTCTGTAATTGTCTAATACTAGAGACAGCCAAAACTAAATGTGCAATTGTATGGAAAAGGTATAGTCTTAAATAATTAAAATCCAGTGCGGTATAAGTCTGTGTACGTACAGTGCTGGGTTCAGAAAAAAGTAAAAATGAATGGAACAGAAAAACCTTGGATTGTGTTATTTTGAAATAAAGGGGCGCTCCATGGGTGGGGAGGGAACAAAAAGATTGGTCCATCAAGGTCTTGTGCCTGGATTCCACCAAATGTCTCTTTACTCTTACTGGGGAACTTTTGTTTACTATTTCTCTTCCACCTACTGCGCTGAGAGGGAAGAACACAAGTCTCTTTATTGACTCGGTGAGACAGTAAGAGTGCAGGGCGCCATGTTGTTTTTCAGTTGTGAGGCAAGATTCCTTAATGTGACTGTCTGTGAGAAGTGTGAAGAAGGGATTTACTCGTGAGTCAGTGGTGTCGCAAAACAGAACCTGTGCAGTGGCAGAAATACACATCTGAAATATGAACGTGCATGACACATAAATAAAAAACCAGCAAGGACATCCACATATTTACTACATTCTCAGAATAATTGTGAGTGATGAACAAGCCCCGGTGATCCAAGATGGCGCCCTATTCAAATCAATGGCTTGTGCTCAGTAGCGCATGGGACATAGGACCGTAATCCGCTGGTCCTCCGGGTTCTGCGCAATGGACAAGCTCCCATGAGGCGTTGGGCTAAATACATGTGGCTCTAAAATCGATTTGCAATCAATAAGAATGAATAAATAAAAGAAAAAAAGTACTGTTTTATGTAATCAAATAAAACAGTGTTCAAAGCCTGAGAATAAAAGTGGGTCTTTTCAGAGAACGTTTGTGTCGTCCTGTGCAGGTACAGATACAACGTAAGGAGTAAAAATACAAAGAAAATAAGAAAAGAGAATGTAAATATACATATATATTTACAGGCTTTTCTATGTGGAGTTTGCATGTTCTCCCCTGTCTGCATAGGTTTCCTTCAGGTGCTAATTTTTTTTACAATAGGTCTAGCATGCGCCTCTTGGCGACCCCATCTCTGTGTGGAGTCGGAGGACAAATGCCCTCAACAATTGTAAAGCGGTTTCTGACTCTGGTCTGTGAAAGGTGCTACAGTACATTAACAAGATTGACTTACTAGTCATCTAATCTTGAACAAAATGGTGATATGATATCTTTGTTCACGCTATGGCACACAACACTGGCACGTGAAGGATGAAGCCCATGTTTTGCGCAGACTCTGACCTGATGCTTGAATGCTATTTAACACAGTTCGCCACTCACAGTTATTGTCCCAAATGGAAACTGTTTGTCTGGCTTGTTCTCGTGTGTTTAATCAGCTCTGATTATGGTGTAGAGACAATGCCTTCAGCTGCTCTTGGCTCTCCAACGCAGAGCTGCTTACACTGATAATGCTTGTGTGGTGCCAGCAGTCTTACAATAAGACTACAACTGACTGGGCCTGGAATACTGTGACGGGAAATACTCCTGACTGTCTGTGATGATTTACTGATGCTGTTAAAGGAGCATCGTTCAACTTGCTTGCTCTCTTGGAGATTATTATCAAAAGAGCTCCACAGCTTGTCCATAAACTTAAAGGAAACACATAGGTAGAAGCCCTTTTATAAGTCCAACCTGTAGGGAAGTGATCTCAGTGAGAAAAGACTGGACTATTGTATCA